AAATCAGACTGAATTTAGTAGCCCGGGTCAAGAAATAGTAGAAATAGATGTATTGTGCTATCGCTACATTGGGGGCTAGGCCGGCCTATGTTACGTTGGATGGTGTGAGCATGGGCGTCAGCTGGCGATCTCGGGATTCCTCACTCAGCACAAGAAATTGAATCCCTATAGGGATAATGATGGATTCCTGCCCCGCCTCACCACGCCATATTCTTTCAGCTGACCATCGGCAGCGATTCACCATCGTTACCACATACACTACCCGGAGTCAGCCTCACCTTGGCACAGCTAGCTTCGATGTGGGACTGACTGCTGCCTTACCGTAGGAAGTGGAAAAAAGGCAAGGGTCCCGTCATTGTTCATTGGAGCGCAAGGCAATCTCTATACGCTGGGACTGCTCTGTTGGTCTCCCGACCGATACCGTGCCTTTTCGCGCCGCCAAATCCATGATGATATTGAATAATGTTTCGCTTTTGCACGATTCCGTTTGACTGCGATTGATAGAGCTAGGATACCCGGACTCATCTTTGAAGAGCTCGAAGAGTGAATCCTTGTCAAATGCCGTGGATGCCACAGCATTGGTAATAAGCTGGTTGAAGCGATCTAATCTCCGAGGAGAATCAACCAACCAAGGGACCTCTTCAACACCAGCATGGTCCAGGAGCAGGTGATTGGTATGGACTAAGGTGCCTTCATTATTCAACTGAAGTTCCTTTATACCAACACTTGTACACTCTAATCCGAGGGCCTCTGACTGATCAGATACGAGAATATGGCCGCTCCCGGCTGTTCCGATGAGCTCAATGGCGTCGGCGGCTGCTCTCGCCGAGCCGGACTCGAGCGCTTTTCTCAGTGCGACGTGGATGGGGTATCGGGAGACATTTACTCCCCGTGCTCTTATTGCGTTCAGACAAACTCCCACGCCGCTCGAGTTGAACCCGATCTTCCCGATGACCCCGCCCTCGGTGACCATGGAAATGTCGGGGAGATTTGTATCCGGTTGACTGATGTGGCAAACAAAAAGGTTGACAGCTTGTTCCTTCTGCCAATCCCAGTTCTGGGCGAGTAGAACGTCGCCCGTCTTGTTCTTGTACGCCACGCTCGTGCACCCGTCGCTTTGCACAGGCAGTGACTGGTCTGTGGTGAAAAGCCCAAAATTGATCTCGGTTCTAACGTTCAGGGCAACGATGTCCAAGATGTCCACGTCGGCGCCCTTAGCGATGCCCTCTATCTCCTCATAGTATCTGGGGCAATCCCTACGCAAAAACTCGACGTATTTGGCGGCTTCTTGGAGGACAGACGCCCAATCCAAACGGCAGCTGGACTGAAACAAGTCTCGGTAAAAGGCAAGGGATCCTTCTACTTTGTCTCTGGCTGCTGAACCATGCTGGTAACCGATCTGCAAATTGAGAGCCATTAATCACATCCACTCATCCACGATGGCAAGGTCCTCTTTCACATACCTCAAACGGGGTTCCGGAACACCGTACCTCAATCATGGCGAGTTTTCGGCCGTTTGATTGTACTGAAACTCGAATGATTACGCTTTCAAGGTAACTTTCTGTGTGCCTTTTGAAGGGATCCTGTTGCCTTGGTACTGGCGTCTATGACGTGCTCTGGGCGCCGGCGCACGAATGTCCAAAACAATGCATCCATGGTGGATATGTTTCTCCAAAACCGCACGGATTCTGGGGGGGACAAAGCATACGCAAACCTTGCCATAATGGGGATTCCGTTCGTACCTCCGATCTCGCTGATTCTCTACTAGGCCTAATTTCCCAAAGTTTCTCGTACTTGGGGTGCTTTCCATGCTGCAAGCACGGACGATGGTGGTGATCCTATAGGGTAGCGGGAATAGTTGGAGATGTTGATATTCGGTCAAGAATTACCCCCGGGATCGCGCCCTCAGAGGCAGATGGAGTTATTGAAAAGCCTGGCATGTTTCATGCTACTTTGGTTTCAACCGCCGTCTCAATCGTCTGTCAATCTTCTTTGCGTATGGCCTCTTTGCTGGATTTGTGCCGATTTCGTATCATAGATAAGAGACGTTCGAGGATAAATACATTTTATGACGGAGGAAGATACTCAACTCTAAGGAGAATTTCTCCAAGTTGTGAGGCATATATGAACTGGATGTCGAGATTGCCCAATTTCGTCCGTTTTTTTCTGACCCGTGAAGGAATCCATATTCCTTTTCTCGTACGATGAACCGCTTCACCTCGTTGGCATGATGCGGAGTGGCACTTGTTTCGCTAATCATATGTATTTCTCAAAGGATTATTCTGATGGAAGAAAGCTGGCGAGAGTTGGAAGGGAATAATAATTCAAACATTGGATATGTGTTCGTAAAGCCGTTCCCCTTCACCTCTACCTAGGAGAACACATATAGTTGCAGCACGGTCAGATAAGTCTAGAACGGAGCATCAGCGTACCGGGCATTCAAGGATTTTATTGGGGAATTCCAGCTTCAAACCCACAAGCAGCTTGATTTCGGTCTTTTCTGACTTCTGTCTCCGGCCGGAACGTTCGGGGGGTGACTGACATCGCTTACTGCCCGATACCACCTCCGAAGCATCGGCCGAGTCATCTAACCGAGAATCGCGAGGTGTCCAATGCACGGGTCCATCCCTGTTCATCAATTTAAATTACTCTCTGAGGAAAACGAATACGTCATTAGGTTTCGGGTCACATTCACTTATTGGGATCCGCAAGCAGATAGACGGGGGTAGTGTGTCTGGTGATGCGCGTTATTCTCCTCAGCCCTATCACCGAACACGGTCCCCCCCGACACCGCTTAAGAGGTGGACAAGCTTGATCCGACAAAGGAACCAAAGCGGGTCTTTTTGACAAATCTTTCCATTTTTCGTGACGGGATGATGTGACCTCGCAGTCCTTTTCGAGCAAACTTTGTGACACGTTCCCACCATGGATGCCGGAGACTGCGGAGATGTCACGAATAAGCGGGCACCCCTCGGCTCCAACGGAAATCAAACGGCCAACTATCGTGTGATCATCCCACATTCCTTGCTCCGGATTTCTCAGCGGCCAGTCACGCCGAAAAGGAGGTGAGTACGCATAATTGCAAGGGTATGAATACCCAAGAATTTGCACATTTGTAAAACTTGGGGTTGGTATCCGACCAAGACACTCAGACTGCTCGGGTTTATAATCATTTGATTTGTTCTATCATGTCCGTAGCAGTTTCAACCCCTGCAGCTATCGCTGCCCCTATGGACAGCCAAGCAACTCCAATAAGTGGAAGCTCGCGGTCCAGCGAAAGTGTCGATGAGAAGCATATCAAGCACGTGGGCCGGGTGTCTGCGAATCAACGCGATGTGGACCGCTCTGCCTCGACTAAACGATGGAAGACATTTGTCAGGTCTTTTAAGCATATCTACAATCTTACACCAAAAGAAGTTGAAGATTTTATGAGATCATATAAAATATATGAGAACGATTGGGCGGATGAGGAGAAGATGATTTCAGCGTTTGGCCCTGATTATCAGCAGCAAGTTGGTGACTCTCTCAAGGCATACTACTCTGTTCTGAACCATCTCTGCAGCCTGGGCGATGTCGAGAAAATGTACATTCCGCCTGTTATGGACAAGAAAGCATCCGTCCTCGATAACCAGCTCTTGAATGAGGAGGCGATAGCAGAAGAGATCGGGTTGACGTCCTCAATGAAAGTGCTGGATCTGGGCTGTGGCCGAGGAAGAGTGGCGGCACACATGAGCAGCTACTCAGGGGCCGAGATCACTGGACTCAACATCGACGAGAACCAGATAAACCAGGCGCGACAATGGAACACAGCCCTTGGTAACATGAACAAGTTCGTCGTCCATGATCAAAACAATCTGCCCCTGCCTTTTGAGAGTCAATCTTTCGATGCATTCTACGAGATACAAGCACTTAGTTTGTGCAAGGACCCTTCCCTCTTGTTCAAGGAGATACACAGAATTCTCAAGCCTGGCGCCAAATTCCTTCTCTTGGACTGGGTGAGCCTGCCCGCCTACGACCCCGAGAACCCGACGCATGCGAGCTTGATGCGCCGGGTGAAACCCCTGATTGGCGCCGTAGGTACACCGACACCGGCAAGCTTCGAGAAGGCATTGGTAGAAGCAGGGTTCACCATCATAAAATCAGACAATCCGAGTATAGACGGCCGCCAAGCCGCTCTCATCGACAAGGTCGACTTCTATTTCCGTTCCCTCAGACGGATGATTCACGGATTGGTCCATGCGCATCTCCTACCGCCTCACTTCACTATGCTCATCGATCGTTTTTGCTTAGATGGTAAGGCGTTTGAGCAGATGGACGACATGGGACTCGTTACGACTACATATAGAATTGTTGCCCAAAAGATCTGACCTCTCGTCGAAGCATCATGTTTCCCTTTTTTATTTTAACAAAAGACCTTTTCTTCTTCTTCTTTTATTGCTTTAGTGGAAATTCTATTCTAACTTTTGAGGTGACACAAGGACATGGCATGACCCCTATGGAGCAGTTTTACAAATAGATAGAGTGGGATCTTTTCGGTTCGTTTTAGTTGTTCGAGGTGTTAGAGAATACTTAGACTTATTTATTTAAGATGCATTCACATTTGTGGGAATAGACCGTGAATGTGTGTTGAGTGGCAACAATATTAATTTAGAGGAAACTCATTCTTGAGAAGTTTTTTTAAGATATCCAACCCCAAAGTGCGCGTTCCTTATGGTATCTGTATTGACTATCAGCGCTCACGCTGGCCTTGCTGATATTTATATCAAGGATCGTTCTTATTGGCTCTCATGGATAGATTTTCCTTTTCCTCTTTTGCGTTTGAGCTTACAAAGAGCCATTCTATTCACTTTTAACGTCGATTTCAAGTGCAAATTTAGTGATCAATAAACGTTCATTCAATAGACAATGTACTTTCAACATCAAGTTTCTCCCGTTATTTTCCCACCAAAGACCAATTCAAGGGCCAGAAAAAGCCATTAATGTCGATATCTCCCCTCTGATTATTTGAAATAGTACCCCTTATACTCATTTGCGGGCTGGGAAGGCTGGGGAGCATTCGATGTTGTGTATAGATGGTCCATTCCATTCCCCTCCTCCCTATCACGGCGTTTGTCGCGACACCGTTTGATCATCAGGCCGACGCCTACTAACACGGCTATTGCCGCAGGAACACCAACTCCCACGCCTATTTTACCCGCGATGCTCAGACCGCCGCTATCGTCATCACTGTCTGAGCCACCTGACTGCCTGCCTGCCAGTGTCATTAGATTGCCGATTGATCGTGTTTCTGAAAGTGATATAGGTGGAATATATGCTGCCAGGCAGCCTTGTAGTAGGCAGAGAAGAAGATAAGCAGATATCCGTGACACCATCGCGATGTTACGCCGCATGTTGAATAGATGTTTCTGGCGGTTCCCTATTGCGAATATGTTTGCTTGTCTTCAGTAATGGTAGGGATTCTTGTAAACAAGTAAAATAGGAGGAAGAAACGAATGATGGAAAATCTGTACGACGACTAACTCAGCATGAAATACGTCCCCTTTTCTATCAAAGAGAAGATCCTGACTGGGAACACGGCTAGAACACATCAAATACCATTAGACGCTGTCTCCACTTACCTGCAGCCATCATTCTGGACACTCCAATCAGCTTGGAGGTGCCGCAGCCAAGCCGGTCCAGGCCTTCTTGCCGTTGTTCCGACCTGCACAAGCTGGTGATCGCGTATAACCCCAAACTTCCAGATGTCCTGCGCTCCAACTCATTATCAACATTGATGTGCCTCAATTTTGGAGCTTGATATTTGTAGTGATAGCAAACTCTCCCCTCAAACCACCTGACGCGTTAAACTCACAGCGTTGTTTGAATGGGCTCCGAAGCTTTGAACAGCCGGAAATGGGTAGCGGATATAAGGCTGGCCGATCTGCCGATTAAGCGCCCAAGTTTCCACTACCGAGTGCTAAGATCCGACTTGGGGCTCTGATAGGGCATTCGATGCCCCTCAAAGTCAGGGATCACATTGCATGTCTGTCTCTCATACGCCTGAGCCTATGAGACCTCTGTCCAGATGCTGCAGTCCATGTGCCATTTTCGCATCGAGCCTGATGACGCGTCCTCAGCCATCTGGGTACCTCACGTCATGTCGTGCCTTTTCAAAACCGCCCTAAAATTGGATTGCCTTTCCATATATGTACTCAGATTGCAGCCTAGAAAGGGGTTTCAAAATCATCAAAAGGCCCCTTGTATCGGAGAGAAGAGCGAGATGTTCTATATAAATCTTCCTATGGTGGAATTAATCTCAACCTCTCGATACCATAAGGGGGCATAGCTTTTTTTGGCCTTAGACCTGGTTGAACCAATCACACAAAGGATCGCGGTCTGAAAGAGTGATACTGAAAACCATCACATAGCTGGCGGATAAGCTACAAAGAACCGCAAAGTATATTCGTTAAATCTAGCTTGGCCGAGCAGCTATCAACACATATTCTACGTTCACAACTTATTCCAGTTCCTAAGCTGTAAACACCATCGTGGTGACAATCGAACCGTGGCCTAGACAAGTACACCCTGACCTCTTAATCATCAAAGACAAAACTAAGTCCGGCGGTAGCGTAGTGACGTACCAGTTACTCCTATCTACCGTTCAGACTTTCACCATACCGAATGAACTTCCTTTGCCTCCAGATCGATGATGCTAGTCGGCCCGTCCATCGAGAAGAGATAAGATTCAACAGCGTCGGCACTTGGGAAGATCTGGGCAGTAATAGAGACTTCGCCCTGCCCACCAAATACCTCGACGGAAGACCAGTCGGTCAGGACTCGTATCGTGACGGTGCCGTTTCTAGAAGCTAACGGCGCAGAATACACTCCCGAAAATGATCCATCGAAATCGGCCACTCCTGACAGTGTCCGGTTGACAAATAGCTGCTCTGTCGTGAAATCGTACCCAATACGGGTTTGCTCCCTAAAATCCGCCATAGCCTGAACGATAATGCCAAACTGGGTTGACTCTGATTTGGTAAATGTTAGAGTGGTGTCAAGTGCCTTTCCCGTAAGGTTGAGTTTAGTAGTGCCAGCTGGCACAGAATCCCAATGCTGAGTAAAGCCTGCTTCCGCGTCCAGAACCGGACTCTGCACAAGAGTTACCGTATTGTCAATAGTCTTGAGCGAAAGCTTTCGTGGGATGCTCATTGCGCTCCGCCAAGGATCGGTCGGTATCACCCCGCCGTACTTCCAGTTGTTCATCCAGGCAATGTCAACTCGCTCGGTATCAGGAAGACCCGAAAAGCTAAGAGCTGCGTAGAAGTCAGGGCCCCAATCGAGCCAATTTGTCTGCTTCAGGCTCTCAGGATCTGGGGTGAAGGTTGTTCCATCAAAGTCTCCAACGAAGTATTGAGTCCCTGATCCAGGTGTACCTGGCGGGCCTCCTGGGTTGAGCCCGACCTGGGCAACCCATTTACTACCACCATTCCCATCAACAGGGAGGGGGAACAAACTGGGACATTCCCACACACCGCCAACGGCATTTTCTGGGCCGAATTCACTAACAAGCTCCCACTCCTTGAGATCTCCAGATGTGTAAATAAGGAGCTTGTGTAGTTGGGCTAAGGAGATGACTGAAATCCATTTATTACTAGCAGCGTGCCAGAAGACACCAGGATCGCGAAACTCGCGGATCTGGTCGGCGTACTCGGGAGGAGGATTGAGCAAGACAGGATTGCCCTCATCATAGGTGGTCCAAGTGAAGCCATCATCAAGGCTGTAGGCGATGGACTGTGACTGCTGATTTGCCTCTACCGACTTCCCACTAGGTAGGGTCTGTGCTTGAGGGTACTAAAGGCGAAGATTGGTCAGATGTTTGGCTGTTCCGCTAGAAAGAATAGAATGCCACTTACATAAGATGTATACATCGCAACTAGAGGAGCTTTGTCACCAATACCAAAGCCGCTCGTGTTATTAACATCTGCCACGGCAGTACCGGAGAAGAACATCTCTGTGATCTCATCCGGGAAGCCACGAGCTTGGAGCGCGACTGGCTGGTGCTCCCAGTGAGCTAAGTCGGAGCTGGTTGCGTGGCCCCAGGACATGGCTCCCCATGTTGTGCCGCCTGGATTATACTGATAGAACAAATGGTAGATGCCGTCGTGAAAGATCAAGCCATTTGGATCATTCATCCAGTTTTTGGCCGGAGTGAAATGATATTGAGGGCGATACTGCTCATTGTAATCCTGGGCAGACACGATCTGCAGCAGAAAGAGGCCCAGAACTTGGGCAGCACGAAGGTAGGCAGTCATGATGGTGAAAGCGATGGGTCAGATGAAGTGTAACTCCAACTGTGCTGGTCCTCTTCTTTTTGGGGAACAGAGTAATCAGGCAATATATATAGCTTTCTGGTGTTAGTCTGTGTTGTCGTGCTTATTACCTGTGCTTGCGTTGTGTACAAACTGTTTGATGCGAGTGTGTGTGCAATTCCGTCACTTCTTTGCGGGCCACACAGTGGATATTGCGAGTCCAGTCACGACCCCATTCTAGAGGCGGGATTTACCGTTAATGGAAGGAGAATAATCATGGCTTGAGAGGCTTTGGCTGCCGATCACTGAGTTATCCTGCTTTTAACCCTCGAGTCACTGTAGATGACGGGGGCGGTGTTACACGACATCTCAGCCACTAGTGAACGCAATTCCCTACTTTAGCAATATGTCCGCTTTGCACACAGTCCGTGATGACCCCGTTTCGACACCTAGAAGCTTAGGATACAGTTTTATGTGTGATGACATGCCACAAGCTCTTCCATCCTGCATCCCAGTCCGGGGTCTGTGGAGGCAGCCGACAGCGCGGTTTCCCGCTTCAGGCAATATCCGCCCACGAACCCCCCACACACATTGTTACCCCATATTGTTACCCCCTAACTTCCACCTGTAACCCAAAGTTCTTCAGCAAGGGTACTAGGATGACGAGAGTTCTGGAGCACATACATCATGGGGTTTTTGGATGATGGATTGGAACCTGTATTAGTAGTGTAGTAAAGGAAGCGAGGTGAAATTAAGGGGCAATAATGGAGGAGTGAATGGCACGATCTTTACAGATGGACGTGTTCCTAAGTGATATGAAATAATGACAACGGAAATCCTGATGCTTACTGGTCTTAACTTGGTTTTGAGCTTTACCCAAAATAGTAAAACAACGAATCACCACTCCATTCCTCCGCCAACTCGTGCGTTCAGAGCTCGACATTCACCCCTTACTGATGGGGCAATTCGCGACCACTTCTACCGAGCCTCCAAGCCCAAGTCGTCCGGTCTCGAATTGGTAATGAGCCGGGATTCATAAGCATAAATCGTACTATCTCCACAGATCATGCGGGGTAGATGCGTGATTTGTGTTGCAACCAGACTGGCAGGACAATAAATTAGCGGCGTAGGATATGCTAGGCAGTAGTTATTACTCTTAATCCCTCACCCATCGATCAAATGAGAACGAAGCCCAAGCTCTAAATCCTATCCAGCAATAGCTTTAGGCTTGTTAAAAACACGATGGGGAATGCCGCATTAGCTAGGGCATATTGGTTCGTTGGAAGTGGACAATCGAGATAGGTAATAATTAATCATTCAATCAATCTCTATTCTCCTTGGGCGCCTAGACCGGACTTATTTCACGCGGCAATGAGAATGTTGCCGAATACGTTTAATAAGTTTATTATGATAGTCTGATGGGAACGACAACTTCGGAAGAATTAACATAGCCTCGGGGACAATTTGTGCCCGAACCTCTTCAAATATAAGGAGGGCCCTAGTTACGTTGAGTAAATCCACCAACCCTAATCGAGTCTGCCATGAGTCTCTTGAAGCTTCTCGAATGCCTGGTCGATGGTGAGTTTGGTCTTCAAGGAGATTTCTTCGATCTCCTCTGCTGTACTTGTATACGCTGGTGCAAGAAGAACGTGGTCTCCTTTGACGCCATCCAGAGTTCCGGTGCCAGGGTATAAGCTTATCCCTTGGCCTTTGAGCCCGATTGTGTGAACAAGATTGGCAACACCAAATGAAGGCGGGAATGGGTCTTTTGTCTGTTTATCAGCAACAAACTCGATCTTTGGCTCTGGTTAGCATGTCTTTTCTAACAACTTGATTGAGGTCGAATAGCTTACTCCCCAAAATAGTCCCCTTCCTCGAATATTGCCAACATAAGGGTGACCGTCGAGATGTTTGTGCAAAAGCGAACTCAAAAGCTCTCCACGCTTCTTCACGTTTGTGAGGAGATCATCCTCTCTAATAACGCGCTGGACCTCGAGCGCGGCAGCGCAACTCACGGGATGCCCCTGATATGTATGGCCATGTGAAAACGCCCTGATTGATAGATTAGCACCGTGTGGATATTGGCTGGGTCTACTTACCCAGTGCCGTTCTTTAGGGCATCAGCCACTCGGTGGTTGATTAACATTGCCGCAATAGGAGCGTAGCCTCCTCCCAACCCTTTGGCAAGCGTTTGAATGTCGGGAACAACACCTTCCTGCTGCCAGGCATGGAGCGTCCCACTCCGACCCATCCCAGACATGACTTCTGTAAGCTAGTTAACGCAAGGGATACTATGAAGTGAAGAAGTGCAGAAAGCCTACCATCTAGAATCAGAAGAGC